GATAATTAAGCCAATTACAATGTGCACTGCCACATCTGAAAATGTTCTTTTCTTTGGCATTCCACAATCTGTATAAGTGTCAGACAGCTATCTCCCAATAACAGCAGCAAACGCCCTCAATAGAGCACTGCCAGTTCTTAGTACTTCAAAGCCACAAGTATTCTTAATCCGTTCCAAGTGTTGGACATGTTCTGAAATAAATGGTCCAATCACACAAATGCACATAGGCCAGCTCTTTCCAATTCAAGCGCTTTGAGACGTCTAGAAGACGTGAAAAGGGCTATATCAAATGCAAGGATTATTATTATTATGTCAACCGGTCACAACTTTTTAAGAATTTTGTGAACAGAATTTGGCAGAAAGCAATATAAGTTTTTCCCTTTTTCACACATTTTATGATCCGTCTGTAGTTGATTTTCTCTTAAATAAGTTAAAATCCAATTAATTTCTAATTTTCTTCTGATTTCTAAAACCTCTGGTCCCCAGTTGCTTTCAGCAGCACTGGTTGCTCTCCGGTGACCTGCCCAAGGGCCAATATTCATGTGTTAGTCTTGGCAGTGAGTGTCGGCAGGCCCCCTCGACTACAGATGGCATCACAGCCAAGCTTGACCTCTCTTCACACTGTTGCTTCAACCAGTAGATGGTGCTTTAGAGGACCAGGAGCAGAAACCCTTTCTGTTTTTCTCCTCCCTAACACTGGTGGCTTCCCACATAGCCCTGGCTGAGACCAGCAAACCGAGCATAATTCAAAGCAGCAAACTCCTGGTCTGTAAATTGTAGCTCTCTCCACTGTACCAGCAGGGCTTCCCCTAATCTAATTTTTTNCAAGCTGTATTGTAATGGATTTGAATACGAAAATTTAAGTTGTTTGAATAAAAGTTTGAATAAGTACCTAATTTTTAAATTTTTAAAAAATGCACTGCATATCTTAGAAATATTAAAAACACATGGTTAAATACACTGTATAGTGCAATACCTAGTCAATCAAACTGGAAAGAACCCCAGATCCATTCCTGATCAAAATGGTGTTAGCTGATCAACATTGTGATCACGATTAACATTTCACCCACATAATACACAGGCACTCCACTTTACAATATATTCCTTGAAGGGCTTTGAGTCGGTGCAATGATGTGATACGGCGCTATACCACATGCAAGAATTATTCTTATTATTAAGATTGGTTTGGATGAAGAAGACCCTTCGGCCCATTCTATCTCATCCTTCTAGAAAATCCACCTATTGATCCTCACTCCCATCATAGCACTGAAGCTGCATTTTAAATGAATTCAGTGTCCGGGTCTCCACAATCTTTCCTAGTAACCTGTTTCAGTCATTTTAATACCCTCTGCATAATGAAATGTATTTGTAAACAAGATCACTAAAGGTTATGTCACAGTCAAGTGTTGCATGTGAATGCTTTTTACTTGCCTTCTGACATGTTTCTCATGTTGAATGTTTTATAAAGATTGAATTATATCTCAGAAAATATGGGTGGAACCAGTAGAAGGAATAAGGGGTTGAAATGCTTTCAGAGCTGAAACTCTGGTCCATGCCTTTATCACCTCAAGGCTGGACTACGGGATCTCTCTTCTCGCCGGCCTTCCCGGGATCTCCCTCCACAAGCTGCAGGTCATTCAGAACTCTGCAGCTCGTGTACTGTCCCGCACCAGGCTTCACGACCACATCGCTCCCACCCTCGCTCGCCTCCACTGGCTTCCCATCCCCAAGAGGATCGAATTCAAGATCCTCATCCTCACCTACAAGGCCATTCACGGCCTTGCTCCCTCCTACCTCTCCGACCTACTATCCCCCTACTTACCTGCCCGTACCCTCCGGTCCTCTGGCTCCGATCTGCTCCACATCCCCCGCCCCAACCGCCCTACCATCGGTGGCCGGGCCTTCAGCCTCTCAGCCCCTAGGCTCTGGAACTCCATCCCCCAGTGCCTTCGCCGCCTCCTCCCTTTCCTCCTTCAAGGCCGGTCTCAAGACCTTTCTCTTTGACCGTGCCTTCAGCTCCCCTCTCGACTCTCTACCCCCTCCTCGCTCCCTCCCTTCCCTCCCCTCACCCTGACCATTTCCCCTGTTCGGGTCCTGACCCCAATTGTCAAGCACTTTGGGACGTCCTCCCGACGTGAAAGGCGCTCTATAAATGAAATCTTGTTGTTGTTGTTGTTTCAGAAGAGTTGGAGAGGATAATATTTGACAGGGAAAAACTGGGAGGAAAATTCATCAGCTACTCCCCAAAATATCCTTGTGACAATGGTTGCAATGTTTATATGTTTGGAGTATCAAAGTTACATTTCACCAACAAATGTAAATTCAGGCAACATTAAGAACTGATCATATCTACAAAACAGTTTTAAGTATCATCAAACAAGAAAAAAGGAATAATGGCTAAACTTTAAACTGTTATGTCATGTGGCCCACGGCTCATCAGCAGCAGCGAGGTCCCGCAAACAGCAGTGAGATGATGATTGATTGATCTTCTTTTATAAAGAAGATGTTTTGTAATTCCAGAGGTAAGGAGCGGAGTGATTAAACAATTGGATTTGATGTACAGTACATTCCGATGGAGAGAGCTGCCTTTCTATGCACATGCAGTGGTATCACTGGTCAGGAGATAGATGGCTGTTTGTGTGGCTATTGCTATATGCAAATTGATTGCCATGTCTGTTTTCAAAGACACAATAAATACACATTGCAGTGAAGAGACATTGCAATGTTATACGGCGTAATAACAAATGCAATGATTATTATATTTTCATTTGGAATTAAACAAATCTATACACAGTGCTGAACGGAGTATAAAGAAAACTGTAGATGAGTGAATTGGCGTGAAGTCAGTCTCAGAAAGAAATCTGCAGAGTGTGACATGAGAAAAAAAATAGGGGACAAAAGGATTTTTTTTTCCTTAAACCTACCCAGCAAAAACTCTCTGTGTGAAATTTTATTTTATGGATTTCTTGATGTCACGTTCAGCTTCAAACACAGAGCCCGTCTAGAATATAAAGCCGTGCGTCACTCCCAGTGGTAGCAGCAGACTTCTAAACTGGGTCAACACTTGCTGACGCCAAGTCAAAGAAAATAGCAGGAGCCAGGCGGCTTCTAAAAGCATGATTTTTCTGTTGCTCTTCTGTTACAAGTGAACTGTAACAAAATCATACTGTGGTTCCTGGTGCCCACAATTTATCAGCAAAGCACATTCAAAAGGAGCTCATTGGAAGCACTGTAGGGCTTTGCAATAGGTTCAGATTTCACAAGCTTTCTTGGCCATTCCGAGCAATTGTCAGATGAATTGATGGACATGAGTTTCTTTGTTTTCAAATAATTCCTCATGCTCATTGACTGTATCAACGTTTAAAAAGGCCAGAGAGAAACTGAGCAGCTAATGTTCAAGACCAGCTGATTGAAACATTTGGTCCCAATCCTCAGATTGAAAGAGATGGCAACTGGAACCAACGAGAAATTTGTAACCTTTTAAGGGATGTTAAAAATAACAACATTAACAACAAAATTACATGTATAGAGCGCCTTTCATGTCAGGAGGAAGTCCCAAGGCCCTACAATCATACAAATATGATTGTATTATCCCTCATCCACCAAGTGAGGGCTCAAATTTGAGTGAGGGCTCAACTATCCTTGGGGGTGGTGGGGGGAGGGGGGTGGTAAGTGAGGTCTCCTCAGAGCTGGCTCCAAAGTGTGATGTTTGGTAACGGAGGCAGCCTCTGAGCCAGGCGGGTCCGTAGTATTCCAGGACACTGTTGATGACAGCACAGTGTTTGCCTGGCTCATCAGCAGCGCTTGGAAGGGCAGACCTGTCACTTGGAAGAGGAAATCCTCCTACTAACTATGTCAGACACCCGCTTGACCAAAAATTCTCTCCACCACCACCACCACTAACCATGACTGCCCACCCGCTGCCCTGGCTGACTCAACAAAGAGCAAAGATCAAACCTGGAATTGCCCTGTTCAGCTCAATGTCACAAGGCAGTGTATCTCTGTCCATCACCGAACTCCACGTTAATTGTGATCAACCCTTTCTTTGTCTCATCATATCTTGCTGCATTCCTGTTTTACTTTGCTATTTGTCATTTTAAAAAAATGAGCATAGCATTAATATCCTCCTTCGTGTCCTTTTAAAAATGATCTGCTGCTGATTTCTCTCTCTAGCAGCTCCTAACAAGTCTCAAACTCATCAGCTTCCCTTATCCTGTCGTCAGTCTCCTCTGTCAGTCTGGCCCAGAAGAGCCTAGTATCAGCAGCTCACCAGAAACTCTCCACGTCACTCTTCCTCCATGTGTCATTGATAATCCTTCAGTTTGCTCAGTTCGGCACTTCGAAATATGAACTTGTTGCCATAATTCAAAGTAGCAACAAGAATATTCATTCAGTTCATCTATTATCAAACTTACCACACCAAACTCTGCACCCCGATTACTCCAGTCCTTGCCAAACTCCACTGGCTCCCTGCCACAGAGCAGATCGACTTCAAGATACTCACTCTAGTGTTTAAATCCCTCCATTCCTTGGCCCCCCCTATCTCTCTAATTTCCTCTCTCCCCACAGCAGTACCCGCTGCCTCCACTCTACTGGGTCCGGCCTCCTCTGTGACTCCCAAATCCTCGGCTCCACCATCGGCGACCGTGCCTTCAGCCACTATGCCCCGAAACTTTGTAACTCCCTCCCTCAACCCCTTCACTTTGCCCCCTCCTTCCCCATCTTCAGGTCGCGCCTGAAGACCTTCCTTTTCGACCGGGCCCATGGTCACCTTCCCCCTCCCCCTGGCTCAGCTCCACACACACACACAAAGCTCAGGCTTCTAGTCAGCTGTGCTTCCAGATGTGCTTCGAGACGTCTTCCCAATTTGCAAAGCATAAATCACTGTTGTTCAATACGTAACCTGCACTGCCACAGTGGATGGGCTCAGTAACAGAAGAGGAATAGTACAATAGCAGATCATGAATTAAATGTTTTTGTGGCATAATAGTTTTTCTTACCACATTTTGCCCATTCTTGTATTGTATTCGGAGTGTGTCCATGGCTTTGATCATTGCCTGCATTGCAGTAAATATGTTCTGATAGACGAGCTTCGTGAAACATTTTCTATCTTCATCCGAGTACCCATCCCCATGGATGATTCTCATCTGCTTTATGAATGTGCTCTTGCCACTTTCACCAGTACCTAAAGCAATGCAAAGGATAAACAGGTTAAATTGTATTCAGTTACATCTTTTCCCTTAATAAAGGAAGCCATGCTAGAAACTGGTGGAGCCTGGATATTAGCAAACTGCACTTTCACTATTAGAACCTGGGTTCAAGTCATTTGAACAGCATCATATTATTTGCCTTTTGTAGATTATTTGATATTTTCCACTATTTTATTATATCACAGCAGGCCAATCCAATTCCCCACAAGTATCACTCCATCCCTTAATTCCCTTAACCTTCCAAACATTTAGCCATTTTTAAACATCCCAATAAATTTTCCGCCTGCAGCTGTCTGTGGCAGTGAATTCCACAATCGCAGAATTCTCTGTTTTAAGAAACATGTTCTCATCTCATTTCTATGCATCTCAAGTTTTAAGGTTATTTTTCTCGTTTTGGATGCCTGTAACATCAGGAGGATTCAATTTCTATCTAGCTTGTCAGTTCCCTTAATTTTTTAAACAACGATAGCCCTTAGCTCTAGGGAGCAAAAATTTACCCAGCCTACCAATATGAAGGATTCAAAATGAAATGAATTAGGGGAGCTTCAATACAGATCCTTTGGTTGTGAGGGAATCGCAGTTGCAACATTGCCCAATGTAAAACTAGCACCCTCATTTGGAGAAGCAATTGGGATAACTGTTTTTTTTCTGAGCTTGGAACACCTTGGAGACAACTTTTTCAATTCCCAAATACATGAATTTGTAAATTAACTAAAGACACTTTGCCAATAAACTCCATGAACAACAACAACATGCATTTATATTGCACTCTTCTAGCGAGATAGCATCTCAGAGTGCTTAAATAGAAACTGCAGAGTTATTTGGGGATAAATATTTTTAATCACTGGAATCATGTAGTTTTTGTAATATTGAATCAAGTCGGTAACCAGAATCTTATCACTCCGACTTGTGAGCACTCCACTTCAACACAAACAATGTTGTAATAATTCTTATATATATAACCCTTAATATAGCACTTCATCACGTAGAGAGGTCTTAAAACACTTCCCAGGACTTAACATGAATTGTAGTGCCTGTGTATTCTGTAGGCAAAAGCAAGTCAATTTGCACACAGCCATGTCCCACAAACAGCCATGAAGTGGCCAATTTTAATCTGGGAGATTGTCAGCCAGGACATTGGGACAAACTCCCTTCTCTTTTGAAATATTGTCATGGAATCTTTAACATCCACCTGAACAGGCAGGTGTGGTGAATGGCATTTCCATGGGTTTGTGAGTCAGACTTCAAGTTACGGGTAGGATTTAATGAGATAAATTTTGTGACGTCAATAAGCATTCCTTGTGGGTTTTTTAAGGAATATTCTATAACTACCAGTAGATGGAGCACCCCTCTGGGTAAATGGAATCATCCTGTTCCAGCTTTTTAAACCTTTTTTAATCGAATGAATTTTTATAAAATAATTACCAGGGAGACAATTTTTGATATTTTTAAACATACAATTTACAGGCTTCATCAGCTGAAGAAGGAATAAACACCCACTCTCCCTGCACGGATGCGTTTATAAGTGAGACAATTATTTCTGTGCTGTTGTATCAGAGTATTGGGGAAATTGGAGAAATATCTGTAAAAGAGTTGAGGGGAAGGTAGAAGAAAACTTTTCATAGAGACGTTTATGCTAGCATGAAATGTTTTGTTGCCAATGTTCTATTGGGACTCAGACTACAATACCATTTAAAAATAAAGAGAAACATTATACGTAATAAATGATAATAATGTATTTGATATAGCAGCTTATCATGTCGAGACATCTCAAAGCGTTTTACAGTATAGTTTACAGATACACTGTAAAGAGGATTGATTGTGTATTTTGTGGGTGAAATGCAGCAGCCAATTGCACACAACAATGTCCCACAAAGAAGTCAAAGAGTGAGAGACCAATTTTATTTGGGGGATTTATTGGCCAGGATACCGGGAGAAACTCTCCTCTCTTTTTGAATAGGATCTTGGGATGGGATCTTTAACATACACCTGAATAGGAGATGGGACTGAGGTCTAACATTTCATCCGTGAAGAACACCACCTCTAACAATGAAATATATCCCCAGCAGTGCATTGGAGCATCAGCTAGACTCTGACTCAGAGGAGAGAATACTACCACTAAGCCAAACTGACATAAATATTCAATGGTAAGGGCATAGGGAAACAAAAACACAGGGCATTGAGATTATTAGAGTATATAGCTGCAGTGAATAGCCATTCTGAGGGTATAAAAAATAATAGATTTTTACTTCTGACAGCCGAGTGTGGAGTAACACTGGCAGAGGCCTGGGAGCACGTTGTCGGTATGCCAGTCTAACCTAATGGTGAGAAATAAATTAAAATGAGCTGGCTGTACCACCTGCCTTTAACTGAATAATAATGGGACAAGAGGCTTTGGAGGAAAGCAATCTTTTTGAAATGGATGAATTAGTCTCACGTTACAAGCCTTTGTAAAACTTGCATTGGAGTTTCCAATTATGATAAATCCAAGAAAACCAGACCACCACTTGGGAAGTAAACCGCTGAACATGATTTCCGCACTCAAGCGCTTTCACTGCTAAAATACCTCTAACTGGGACATTTGATTGGTTTCATGACTTAGCGAGTCCGCCAGTCAGTGACAGTCAAAGAAGAATATCCAAACAAGACGAATTGCTGATGTGCATGAGTAACATCTGTAAATAGAAAAGTTAAAATTCCAGATTTCTCCTCAATGATAGCATTCAGTGTTTTAAGTATTGAAAGCTCCCACCCAGAGTAGCAGAATATCCTGAGAGGCCAAGAAAAAACTTTCAGACACTATTATACCATCTGGTTATCTTGAAAGTGACCACTCTTTACCCCTTTACAGAGTTAGCTTTTATGCTCCAGTTGCAATTATTCCAGGATACAGTCTTATAAATGCAAGAATAAGTTTCAATTGCTAAATATTATTGAAATGACAGTAGTTCAACTTGAATTACATTTCAAAATCCTTTTCTAGGTTTCTACAACATTTAGAGTTTTCAATGAAAGAGCCAGTTAAGAAAAAAAAGTGAGCTTACTAACTGAGCTTTGGGACATTTTACTTACTACACTGCTCTGTTCTGAAAGTGCCAGGGTAAAAGGAGCTGTGTTCAACAGGCTATTAAAATACTGCTTTGGAAAAGGGTCAATAGTACAGAAAGAGTATGGGTCCACGGTGATAATATCCCTCCCAACAAACACTTCTTAAAATAGCAAACCTTATACTGCGTTGCTGTCTAACTGAGTCCCAACCCATAGCAATCCTTCCAGTGAAAAAGTCCATTAGCAATAAACACATTTGATGAAACACATTTGATACCACTTGATTTGACAACAAAGACATGGTTCCTATTACCAACTAAACTGAGTATTGCATCCTATTTTACTTTCTATATCCTTACTTTACAAAAGCAAACATCTAGCTATCTGCTCTAGTTGCACATGGTGGTAATATAACTTCCTGTCACTAACAGACCATAAATACAGATAGATGCATTTCATCTCCAACATATTTGATGAGTCAGGAAGAGGTGAGATGTAAACGTATGAAATGAACTTCTATTTTTGCAGTAAATGTTTTACAATTTATTTAAAACACTCCAGATAGCTGAGGTGGTTTATTTTGACCTGACTGAAACTTAATTCACCGACAATAAAACGAATACCATATCTATAAAATATTTACAATGGGGTGCAGGTGCGGGGGGAGAGGAGATGAATGGTAAAATAAACTGAGTTTCCCTGCGACTGGACTGGACCTGAGGAGGCACACACGAACACATAGTCTTCAACACTCAAAGTTGAAGACGTGTCCTTAGCCCTGCAAGTCAAAGCCCTTCTGGGTTAAAAATAGGCAACTAATTAAGAATCCGTTAGAAGCTTCCCGGAGTTTCCAGATAGACATCAGGCTACTCAGCTGTCACTTTTTTTTCAACATTTGATTCATACTTATACTTATAAAGAAATATTAATTTGCTATAGTATTTTTCCAATTGCTTACTCTTTTACACCCCACCCTGCCTGCCTGTATTGGCATAGTCTGACAATTATTACACAGCACACAGGTATGTTCCAGATTACTCATTAAAAACCAAACAGTAGTAAAGACATGCAGAGCTGGTCAGAAGTCATCCACTCCATCACGTCACCATATAAACAACAACAAGTTCCCCTCCTCTGCTCCCTATCTCATGTTTTCACAGCTGGATATACCTTTGCCAGTTTCACCCAATGTGGTCTTAAGAAGCTGGTCTATAATGTGTATTTACAGATCTAATATAATGTCTATTTACAGATCTAGTAATTCCCAAGTACACTACCCACACTTATTCACTGAAACTGCAGCTGTTCCCATAGAAATAATCTCACATCATTTACCACTGGGCTCAAAATGCTGATTTAAATGAGGCTTTTAATATCTCACCATTTCAAACATCAAACACACTTTTGAGAGCCCAAAAGATCAGCTAAAGCTTCTTTAAAACCTTGGGCAAGTTTCTTTACTCCACATGCTATATGTAGAAACCTGCTTGTTAGTCGAATGGCGGATCTCTTTTCTGGGAGTAACAATTCCTTCAAAAATAAATAAATAAATTGATCACTCAATCCACGACTGTTTGTGAGACACTGCTGTACCCAATTGGCATGTTTTGCCCACAAAATACACAGTCAATTCACTTTACAGTCTATTCTGTGAAGTGCTTTGAAACGGCTCGAAGACATTCAAAAGTGCTTCATCAAATGCAATGATTATTATTATTATATTTTGCTGACCTTTTCTTTGCCACCATTTTTGACACACAGAATCTTCAGTACATTCCAACTGTGAACCAGTCCACTTGTGAACTGGAGGTTCTTGGTGATGCAAATAGTTTACCTGTGTTGCGTTTGGACTCGAGGCGACTTAAAGTTCATGCAATTTTTCCTTTCAACTGATTGTATTTCCCATCTTCAGTTAATGACATGACAT